ATTTCCTTCCTTTTACTAACTTTGGGCTTCTTTTTTTCATTCCTTAAGGTATAAAGTTAGGTTGCTTATTTTTATATTTTTCAATGAAGTTGTACTTCATTCTAGATATATAGATTATTTGTTTTAGGTTTATATTCTTGTATATTATCAAAAGATATTCTGGGCTGCAATTTATTACTAATACTTCTTTTTTTTCTTTTCAGACAGGTTCAGATATTCACGTTTATGATATCTAAAAGGATAAAACTTTCCAAAGGGGAGCGAGGTCATCCATTGCCCCAAAGATCCAGGCTGGAGGGACAGACAGTAAGTGCTTCGAAAATAAACCCGACTGTGGCCTACACAGTTAGTTTGAACTAACGGGCTTACATTGAAATTTACGTATTTATTCTACCGGTTCACACAGTTACTACTGCATTATTCACTGACTGATGAGGAACTTTCATTATCTTATCAAACAAGGGAACCACTCCAGTGCAAACAGCTGAAGAGCAATCCTGGTTGTAGCAATCACACTAAATAGCCCTAATTTTTCCTCTAAACTGTCATTTTAAGACCACTGACATTTTCCATCCTGAACTATGCCAACTGGAACCAAGTGATATTCAGTCACTTTTTAAAAATAAAAATAACCAAAAAAGGAGACTTCCATACAGCACAACCTAAGGAGGGAAAATCACGATGGAGAGCTTTCCACCGTAACGTTGCTAAATTCAAACCGAGTTGCCACCAAAACATTCACCTCTCAGGCAGCCACCATGTCCGCCAGCATCATACCATTTACCAACTAGGTAAAAGCCATCAGTTGCCCCACCTCGTTAAAAAGTAAATGAACGAACAACAATCAGCTTCAATTCTCAGTTATGTCACGCCAGTCTCCTTCCATGTTTCCCCTCAGAAACAAGTCCAGATTCTCCGACAGACCCCCGAGAGCTCCAGGTGTGCCTGCTCCCCTGGCCGACCCTCCTTACAGCCGACGGCCCCCAGCCGCTCCCTCGGGGTCTTCCCTGTCTACCCGACCTCCACTCCACACCCCCTTGGCTGGCACCTTACTCTCCTCCGTCACTGTGCTCTTCCACAACGTGCAGTGAAATATGTATTCACGTGATTACTTACCGCTGGCCTACCTGCTAGAATGTTAGTGCCAGGCAGGCATGTTTTGTTGACTGTAGTATATCTTAATAGCTAGCATGATGACCGGCCATAGAAAGAGCTAGTGAGATGAGTATTTGGTGAATTAATGAATGGATCAATAAATTGCTAAATACACTATGTCTGTGTAATAGAAATGCCAAAAAGTAAAACAGGACTTAAGAGTTGTTTAAAAAAAACCCACATTATATAATAGGAGAGATCTCTTTGAGTACTAGTATTCCAAGAGCAAATATGTACAGAAGTAAAGATTACACAAACAGAGATTACACCACCATGGCACCAGGTGCCATTCCCTCTGCTTTAGTCTGGACGCCGGCAGGAAGACTGAGAGGTGCCATTTCCCAGCTGCTGCTACCATACCAAAGGTGCACTCCCTGTTTTGCCCCCAGACCGTGATGCAGAGGAAACGACTGTGGCCAAGGGAAGAAACGACATAGTCGAAATGCCATGTGCTCGAATTTAATAATGGTAACCACACACACCCTTCTAGCGCTCACTTTCACAATTCCAATCAAGGATGACCTTTTCATTATCAATACTGCAGAGTCAGAACTTCCAGAGCAGACAAACCATTGATGACTGAGGTCAAACAGCCTTTGCCAAGTACCACCACATACCCTGGCACTCTGATGGGAAATGGGGTGCACAAGAAAATGACAAGAAAAACAACCAGTAGGACTTGGAAGGGCCCAGAGCCATAAACTCACAAACAGCAGGTGCTGAGAGGTACCAGAGAAAAGGCATCTGGGGTAAAGTTGACAACATGGATGGAAAAGTCGAAGTGGGCCCTGGCTGGTGTAGCTCAGTGGACTGAGTGCGGGCCTGTGAACCAGAGGATTGCAGTTCGATTCCCAGTCTGAGCACATGTCTGGGTTGCAGGCCAGTTCTCAGCAGGGGACACATAAAGCCAACCATACATTGACATTTCTCTCCCTCTCTCCTTCTCTTCCCCTCTAAAGATAAATAAATAAAATCTTTAAAAAACGAAAAGCCAAGTGGGCTAACAACTGGGGCAAATAAGGACAGGTAAAAGGGTAGATGCCTTGATGGGCAGAAGCTAAATGTAAACCCGAGTAGAATAAACTGGAGATTATGGTCGCTTTCAAATGGCAGTGGGAGACGTGGAAAGGAAGCAACAGTCTCTGAAACTGAGTGTAAGCACTGTATGAACCATGGGTGCTAATTCGTGTTTAAACGAGGGTTGGGGAGAAACAGAGATCGGCTTGCCTCGGTACCAAACCACTGAAAGAGGCAGAAGAGGGAGCTGCAGGTCAGTGAGGTCAGGAGTAGGGTCAGGGCTGCTGAGTTAATAATGCAGGGTTAAAAAGGAGACTGGAATGGAAACAGAACGAAAACATTTCTAGTTACGTGAACGGGAAGAGATGGAAAAAAAGAGTGAAAAGAATGTATCAATAAAATCCAGGATTCAGTTAAATTAGGGCAGTTGGAGGACCATCTGAGAAAAGCTAAATAGATAAGAGATATGCAAAGGTGCCAACAGAGAAGGTGAGAGTCGGGGCGGAAGGGCAAAACTGATTATGGATGGGAGGGGACAGGAGTGAGGATTGTGGCCGAGGTGCCTAGGTTCGGGCGGGATGAAATACTAGGTGCGAGGCCCTCAACCTACAGGCACACAGTGAGTAAGACGCATGAGGGAAATGCCATATGGGGTATTTGATCAGCTCACAATAAATATGTCTGGTCTACTCATCTCCCTTGGTCATGGTTGACTGACCTAGACAAGGCCTATCAGATTCTCCTTCCTGAGAATTCGAAACCTTTAAAGGAGGTAGAAGGTGGCTGGAGCCAAGTCACTTTATAACACCCTTGAAAGAATATCCATGTTAACTCCTGCTGATACTCCGGTTCTCACAAAACTTACTCCATTTTCTACCCATTTCTGAGAGCTGTTCTCACCCTATTCTTTAATTTCTCCATTTTGCTTTTTTTTTCCAAGCCAGAATCATTCGTTTTCCTTATCACCAAAGTATCTGATCAGATTTGACATGACTCCTGCCTATAGCCAACTCTTTTATTTTGTGAGGATATATTTTTCCCAGGTTAGGAGTGAGAGGGTCGAGACCAAAACCCAATTTACCTTACTATAGCATTGTGGCTGACACTTTTAAACACCGATTTAGAAACACAACTACCAAAAGATCTGTAATCTGAAAAACTTCAGGTAAAGTGTAGGTATAAGTACAAACACAAAAAGCCAAAGCGGCAGCAGCTAGAGACGGCCATGCGTAGGCCACGGGTCTTCGACCAGCACAGTTGCTCGCGTTCTGTCTGTCACAGCACGACGCCCGCCCGAGGAGTGTGAGACTTCTCGAAACTTTTTAACGCTATCTGAAGCCACTGTGTTAATATAAAATCTGAGGTTCAGAAAGAGTTAATGTAATAAAAAAGGTAGAGAGCCAGAGGCAAGAAAGATAAATATCAACATACAGACAAAATTATAAGGACCATGTCTATATCAGAATATTTTGGCCCTTATCCCACACTTAAAAAACATTTGTTTTGGTGTCCTTCCTCACCAGATATTTTTGGACTATGAAATGTTTCTCATATTTCCTTGGCTTTCTCAGATTCTGTTGCTATTTCACTTCCTCCATTTCTCAGAATCTTGTTTGTAAGCCTGGTTCTCCTTTGTTTTCCCTACAAAGTATCCTTCCCTTTCCTGAAACCTTTACTTGACTCGCCCTCCTCCAGCCAGAAACTTTGCCACTAAATGTTAATCCTTCCTTTCCTGTTTCCGTGCAGTTTGATATTCCCTTGGCTAACCGTTCCCTCATTAATATAATTTTAATTGGTACATTCTAGCAAACTTTTCCCAGGCACTGCTTCAGAAACAACCACAGGAGCTTTTTAAATAAAAACATTAACAAAAGTAATCCATTTCTAAAACTGAGTATAAATGCCACATGTGCTTCCGTGAAGCCATTCATTTCTCTTTGAACCTGGATTTTTCAGTAAAAATGAGAATCAAGTCTCTTATTTATTCCAGATGGTCTAACCCATGACGATAAACATGTACAGTCAGTGCCCTACATGAAATACTTCATGTACATCTAATTGTTTTATAGAAAAGGAAACTATATTATACATTAAAGAGTATATTTAATTAAAAGGAAAAGTGTCGTAAAACTAATTGGAAGAATGTATCAACCAAAATGATAAACTGAGATTCATGTCCCTACCTTTATATCAGAGAACATACGTAATAATTCTAAAAATTAACAATTTATTCATTTGAAGTTTATGAGAGGAACTATATGTACAGACTTCTTGTAGCATTTAGCTCTGTTTACTTCCAATCCTTCTAGTAATTACACAAATTCAATTCCACGTAGCAAAAATTATGTGAAAACACCTACTACTCAATTTGCAGAAGGAAAATAAATCTTAATGAAGTTCATACCAAGATTTAATAAAAGACACTCCCTAGAATAAACATCATTTGTCTTTCCACCACGACTATTCTCTACTGATACATGCTAGTTTCACTACACCCCAAAGCAGTGGTTTATGAGGTGGGCAGGAGGGACTTGCTCACTCCACCCCCCAGGGGACGTCTGGCAAAGTCTGGAGACATTTTTGGTTGTCATAACGTTGGTGGCAGTTGGCAGTGGGGTGCGACTGATGTGCTACCAGCTTCTAGTGGACAAAGGGAGGCTGCTACATGGCCTACAATGCACAGGACAGTGCTTCACAGCCAAGATCTATCCAGCTTCGAATGGCTGAGAAACTCTGTCCCACAGAGAAGTAAGACTGAAAGGACACGGGTAACAAGGAATCACCGCGAGTCACCGTCTGCCGAGCCCCGGCAGCGCAGGAGCCCCGACCTTGGATGCCTGTGGCGTGGAGATCACGTGGACCGCGCTGGGTTTAACTCCATTAGCCTTGGGTCGTTTGTAGAGAGCAAATCTGCTTTTCCTCCGGCCTCTGTCTCCATTAGGTAAAGCACCATTGTACCTGTAAACAAAGATGAAAGAGTTCGCTTATTCAAGGAGGTTTTAAAAGTTCTAAGAAGAAAAGTAAGATGGAACAGGGAAAAGACAGGAGCGGTCATAAAGAACTGCTCATTGAACTGAACACCTCACAGAAGGATAGGGCTGCAAAACAGACATTCAGCCGTAATGAAATTCAAGTCACTTCCAAAACTTAATTTAGAGTGATGCACAATGTAATTATAGATTTCCTATCCTGTAAAGTCAGAGTCTCCAAATCTCTTTTGGAGAGAGACAGACTATAAACAAGCAAATGGGAGTTCCACAGAGGCTGTGTGAGCACAGGCCCAGTTCAGCAGGCGCCATTCCCAGGGACCCAGAGAAACACCCCGGAAATATTTTTAAATGAACTAGTTGGAAGCTAGATACCGTATTTGTGGACTATAACGCGCACCCCTCCATTTGGGAGGAAACTGCAGTGGCGACCCCCACTCCACCGCTGCCCCCACCCCACGGCAAGCCAGGTAAACTACATTCAGACTGTAAGACGCACCCCCTTTCCCTCCCAAATTTAGGGGGTTAGTCTTCTAGTCTGAAAAATATGGTGCTAATTTGACCTCATGCCTCACTGCCAAATCATGTTAATGCCTATAGGATCTTTATTTGTTAAGATGACTAAATTTAGTTACTTCCATTCTTAAAAGTTCTGAACTCTCGATACTCATTTCTATTTGAACCTCATACTGTCAGGTTAGCAAAAAAATAGCTTGTAAAAATTAAACATAAACTATGACCCTACCAGAAGGTAGCCCATAAAATGGCCCAAAGATTAAAAAAAGATGAGTTTTAGTCCATACACTGTCAAATAACTTAAAAAATCACCTGATAAACATCTAACATCCTGAAGCAGATATCCTGTATTAATACCTTAAGCCAATAGCAGTGTTTAAAATAAATGCAGGATTGCAGGTAGCGATTCTGCCTTCAACTGTATTTTCCAACTCTGAATTTATCAGTCCTTGTATGTTCTGAGCACTGTCTCAAGGTGCTCACTGACGTGACTATTCTCCACCTCCCCCTTGGCAATTCTTTTCAAGAAGAGAATGTAAAGAAGGTCATATTTACATGGATAAGAATGGCAGCTCCAAGGCTCCTTCAGAACACCAAAGTCGGGGCAGCACATCTGGTGGCCTGTCCCTGTCCTAACACTCTTGCCTGTGTCAGGAAGGACATGGTGGCCAGGATGGTAGATAGGGACACCAGGCCTACTGAGAACAGTAAAAGTTGAAACCAAGTGTTTTTGTGTGTTTGTTCCACAACTGCGTAGCTACAGTATGACATGGACTTATCACCAGAAGTTACTCCTGCTATGCTTTTAATGAGTTACCATTTCCATCACAAAGGAATGTCTGCTACATAAAAAATGTCTCTACAATACAGAGATGATTTATTTCAAGTATCCATCTCCTTTTTCTGACACAAGATCAGAATAATGTACATTATTTTTAAAACATATCTGTGATTATTAGTATAATGAACATATCCATGAGTAAACAGCCAGTATAAACCCACTTTGTTTTAATATATTTCCGTATTCCTTAAACCAAGACGAACGTTCCCTATTAAGAGGAACATGAATCCATTCAAGTCAGGACTCTACACAATTCAGAAGACCATTTGCACCACTGTGGTCCACAGGCAACTGGTAGGAAACCTGACAAGGTTCCCCGGCTCTCTGATGCGTCCCCCTCCCAACTCTCCACGGCTGGTCCACAGGATCTTACCCAGGAAGAGTATGGCAGACGCTTTTTAGGGATCTGCTCTCAACAACACCCCCTTCTTGGGAATCTATCCCTTAGTGGCTTACGAGTGCCCCAGCACCACATGGGCATCGGGTGGCCAGGCCGGCACCGTCGCTCCGCCGTGGCTGGAGACAGGCATCTGGCCCAAGCTGGCCAACGACATTCCAGTGGGACAGAGTGACAACCAGTCTCTGTGGACGACCAGAGCTATAAAAGGTCAGCACCAGAGTGTGGGCACGTCAGTCTGGAACGAAGCAGACGAACGAGACACGAGCAGCAAAGGGAAATGAAAAGAATGGATTCTTAAGGGCTTCCCTTGGCTCAGGTATATTCTGACTCTTGTTTATGAAATTCTTTTTAGTTTCAGCTAACTCAAGTTGGTTTCTGCCACTTACAAGCCATATCTAATATAAAGACAAAAATACAAAAGCCAGAAATGTCAAACTTAACACCTACAGAAACATTTTAATTTAAATTGCCTAAGCATAGATACAGATATTGCAGGTCAAGCAAATAATATGTCCATCTACTTACTTAATACATTTAGATGATTATCAGTAAAAAATCTTATTGGAAATAACTAAGGTAGCAGTGGAAAACCAGTGTTAAGAGGAGAGAAGTTTCTGATTAGGTTAAACTACATGGTCATTCACTCAACATTTATAGTAACAAGTAGTGGGGCTACAACAATGAATATCAGCTTCCCTGTCTTCACAGAGTTCTCTGATAACAGAAAAGAAAGGCACAAAACCAAATGTGACAAAACAATTGTGTGAATGCACCGGTCATTTCATGCACTCGTAGCACCAAGCAGTAAGGAAGACTTCATGGAGAAGACACTGCTTGAACTGTCCTGAACTCCGAACAAGACCAAACACGGAACACGGGGCAACAGTGTATACAAAGGCAAGGAGGGGCAACAGTGTATACAAAGGCAAGGAGGCCTGTAGGTAACTTAGCACTGCCAGAGCATGAAGTTCAAAACGAGAGGAAACACTGGGAGAGAAGGGTAAAGGTAGGCAAGGGCTGGGCTGTAACAGCCTGGCACTCCACGATAAGGGGCGTGGCTTTTTACCCTCAGGGGAGTGGGGAATCCGATAACATTTAAGCCAAGGACTGACACGACGGGATATAAACAGTAAGTTCCCATGTAACATTGTTAAATAGGTTCTGGGACTTTAAACAAAATGACATACAATGAAGTCAATTTTATTACAGGCTAATTAACATAAGTACTAGAGTTAAGTTCCTATGGTCTCTCACCGACATTATAACGAAATGACAGCACTCAAAGACCTGCAGCAGGAAGCAGCTGCAGCGCAGTGCCGGAGGGACGCCCAGGCCGGAGTCAAGGTGACCAGGTGGGGAAGAGCTACCATAACCACGGCAGCAGCACAGCAAATGGAACAGCCGCCTCTGAAAACATATGTGCCTGTCCAAGCCCTGTGAATGGGATATTTTTTGGGGAAAATTATTTTGGCAGATGCAATTAAAATAAGGATCTTACAATGAGATCACCCCGGGATACTGGCGGGCCCCAAATCCAAAGACGAGTGTCTTTATAAGAGACACACAGGGAGAGGGAGGAGATAACTGTGTGGAAATGGAGGCAGAGACCTGGGCTGGCAATCACAAGCCAAGGAGCACCTGAGCCCTCAGACGCAGGAGGAGGCAAGCAAGGCTCCGCCCACGCCCTGATTCCAGACTTGAGGCCTCCAGAACAGTGAGAGACTAAACTACCAGGTTGGTAGTAATCTGTTGTAGTGGCTACAGGAAACTCTAAACCCTAAACCAGAGCAGCAATGGTGGAAATAAGTTGGAGGATTAGAGGAAAACTTTAGAGAGCTGTTTCCAATGTTAGACGAACATCAGTATCCCCAGGGAGGCTTCATAAAAACAGGCACAGCTAAGTCTCAAGAGACCCCACTTGGGTAGCTCTGGAACTGGCCTCCAGGTGTGTACATTTAATGAAGTTTTTGAAACTTTTTTAAATTTTTATTTATTTTTAGAGAGAGGGTAAAGGAAGGAGACTGAGAAGGAGAGAAGCAGCAATGTGTGGGTTGCCTCTAGGACGCCCCCTACTGGGGACCTGGGTCCACAACCCAGGCACGTGCTGACTGGGACTCGAACCTGTGACCCTTTGGTTCACAGCCCACACTCAATCCACTGAGCCACACCAGCGAGGGCCAGGTGTGCACATTTTAAAAGATCTATGGGTGATGCTTACTTGCAGCCACAGTTGTGAACCTTGGTTTTAATGGAAAAAATCAACAGTACTTGGTGACCTGTTTAGCTACACAGGACAAGGGACAGAGAAGAGAATGTTATGTAGGCTTCTGGTCTAGGCCAGGGAGACGGAATATTAAGAAGAGGAGAAGAAATGGGTCATTCAGGGAAGACCTGTAGGAGGCAACACAAAGTTACAGACTTAGGTGCTTTCACCACTCAAGTAGCAGTTCAAGTCATGAGAGAAGATGAGATCACTGAAGAAAAGGACACAGAATAAAGAAGTTAAGAAGGCAAGGCCAGATCCTGGGAAACACAGCCATTCATACAAAGAATGCCTTCTTAACCACAGGCAGAAGAACGTGCTGTATACAAAGAAAACTGTATCACCAATGACAAGGGGGATTTCAACAGTGTTAATCAGTAGAACAAAAACCCACAAATGAGATTTGGAAAAGATCAGTCTTCCATCACCTCACCCTTCTTCAAGGCAAACAAGCAAAGTTAAAAATAAGCAAATCCCTCCAAGGCAGGGATCGGGACCAGAATTCCAGCTCCAGCTCTCTTCCTGGCTGGTGCTGCAAGCTTACCCAAGAGGGGCCTCAGTTTCCTCAGCTACAAAGAAACAACACTGAGCTTCAAGTTCGGTTTTGAAATGAGATTCCCAAACCTCTTTCAGACACCTCAATTCGGTATGAGCACAGAAGGCATTTCATCCAACTACCTGCAACCTGTCCAAGGATGAAGGTTGCAGTTGTCACTTCAACCACTGGCTCCAGCTCCCAGACTCCCACATCCTTGCAGCGGTTGATATGAAAGGTTGATACCTTTCTCTTATCTCCAGGTTTTCTGGCTTCCCTATACAAAATATTTCCCAAAGTGAAATATTAAAAAGTTTATTTTTTAATATAAGGAACACAGTACTGCCCGCAAGCTCGGATTTTAAGCTGTTCTTCCAAGATTTAAACCACACACACACATTCTTGCCCAGCCCCTG